AAGATAACAGACATGCAGAGCTTAATACAAAAATGCAATTCTTAAAGTTCAAAATGGATGAGATTCTAAAGCAAGACTTCAATTTCCTTTTGGATCGTATATGTTCTCTTATGAATTTCAAAGCTCAGTCAATAAAGAGCATAGCACAAATTAACCCAACAAGTGCAGCTCGAATACTTCTCAATCGAGAAGACATATTTGCTTTACCAGCAGGAGATGTACTGATGATATCGAAATGTAAAGAGATTGTTGTCGATGAAATTATATTCGATCATAATGTAAATGGAATTTGCTACACTTATACACCAGTGAGGTCTGGAAAAACATTTTATTTTATATACCCAGGTACACGTGACCTCGTCAAAGCTAGTCCCAGAGCAGACTGTGGTCACTTACCATTTGGTATCTATAATGATGGAAATAATCACTATAGATCCCCTTCAGGTTATGCACAAGTAACTAACATACATTTAAATCTGCCTAACCATTTGACGAGCGAAAATTTTGTTTTCAATGCTCCACCCATCTTTCATTCGGATCTGGCTAGAATCTCGACCGATATATACCTCATCAAGAATCGTCTCAACTCAATGGACAATCTGTATACCATACAGTCTAAATCATCTCCGGGCGAATTAGATTCAATATCGGATCAACTAGGACAGGAATTAACGGACACAGCACACTTCTTGGAATCGAACGCAGGAGAACTTCTTCAATCTCAGAAGAAGAAAATCCTCGAATCACTAGGTCTTCATAGCATCGTCAGAACGATCGTTATAGTATCGATTTGCCTACTTTTTCTTATCCGGAATAGCAATCTTGTATTGCCAGACAGCTCTAATCCGAATCCCACTCAACTTACTTTTTGGAATCATTGGCAAGATCTTATCATTTATTTTCGCTTCCATCTGCAAAAAGCGAAAGTCCACCCAGCAGAATGCTTCGTCTGGAAACAGTCTCCCAACTGTGATTGCAAGGAAGCAACAAGATCGGAAAGAATCACTGATTAACAACGAAGAAGTAAGCGTCTCAATACAGATTCCCAAACAGTCACGTCATAAATCGACTCATTCGACAGAAGTTCAAGTCCCCAAGCAACAACAGAATAAGTCGCAGCAGTTTTTAAGTTTTCTGCCGAGCGTTTCCTGTGTTACACACAAGAATACTAGTCGTATGATCTACGTTCGACGAAGCTCAACAATTTCTCCATAGTGGCTCTTCTAGATACAGGTTCAGCCCTGACTATTGTTTCTGACACTGTGGCTCAGAAAATCAACGCTCGTATCCTTCCATCCACAGTCACCAAAGGCATCACAGCAAACGGAACCACGATGGATCTTCTTGGTCAGTTCACTGCGAACCTCACCTTGGGTAGAAAGACGAAACGAATAACTTGCTTCGTAGCATCGAAGTCTCACTGTTCTTCTCCGTTTATCCTTGGCAACGAAATTATTCAGAAATTCGCACAAACAATGTCTATAAACTACCATAATAATACCATCTCATTTGATAACACCACTGTCCCATTCACTACTTTCAACCCTAACAATTATAGTTTCCCTACACTTCCAGTGTTTTTGATTCAAGACATCACATTACAGCCACTTTCTGACCATGCGGTAATGGGAACAACTAAAACCTCATTTCCTCAAACATGGGAACTTTTCACTTCAGAAAATACCAAATTGCCAATTACCTGAAGGGATCCAAATCGGGAAAACTCTTTCCTGTCCTAAGTGAACAGGGAGAGGTCATTTTGCGAATTTTCAACTCAAATCCATCCCCTATTTCGCTACCCAGAAACACGGAAATAGCTACAGCAGTCTTCGTGGGAACAGAAATGTTATGGAAACCCGTATATTCAGTCTACAATGATAGCACTGAATATAAAAACAGTTCACAACAACAAGTTTTGGAATACATACCTCCAGAAGCAGATTTTGCTGAAGAATTACCTCATTTCCCCAACATTAAACACCCCATAACTGTTCAAAATCGTATTCAAATCAATCCTTCCATTTTGACTAACTTACAACTTGAGAAATTTAACAAATTGCTCACTAAGTATAAGGAATGTTTTGTGGGAAATGACGGCAACCTTGGCCGCTATACAGGTCCAATAACTCACAGCATAAAGTTCATACCGCATCCAAAAATACCAAAACAGCGACCGTATCGCGTGCCATTGGAGAAACGGAAAGAAATAGAAAGACAAATCAAAGAAATGTTGCGAACTCGGATTATAGAACCCAGCACAAGCAAATTTGCATCACCCAATAGTGTTAGTTAAAAAAGGACCTAATAAGGATCAGTGGAGATTCACAGTGGATTATCGTCAAATCAATGCAATCACAGAAACCGAAACATATTGCATTCCACATATGCAAGACATTTTAGATCTTGTTAGTGGAAAGGAAATTTACTCGGTACTTGATTTCAAAAGTGGTTTCTTCCAAATACCTCTGGAAGAAAAGCATAAGGAACGTACTGCATTCTCTTCCTTTTTGGGATTATACCAGTTCACAGTCATGGCCCAAGGGCTAAAAGGCGCCCCAGCCACATTTCAGAGGGTGGCAAACAGCCTTATACGTGAATTGAAATCATGCTGTTTTGCATATATTGATGATATAATCATAGCCAGTAAATCAGTGGATCAGCACCTTATAGATCTAGAGGAAATTTTCCAACGTATACAAAAATTTGGCATGAAGCTTACCCCAGAAAAATGCTCATTTTTTCAAGAAGAAGTACAATATCTGGGTGTTCTCATAAGCAAAAATGGTACTCGCCCCAACCCAAACAAAGTAGCAAGTATTGCCAAAATTCCCCGTCCAAAGGACGTGAAGGCAGTGAAATCATTTCTAGGAGCAGCATCGTATTTTCGACGTTACCTACCGCGTTTTTCGATCATAGCCACGCCGCTTAACAATCTACTAGTTAAAAACACACCATTCGTGTGGACAGAAGCCCACGAGCATGCATTTCTTGCACTCAAACAAGCTCTAATTCAAGCACCAGTATTGGTATCGCCAATATTTGGAGAACCATACATAATACATACTGATGCATCCACAATTGGATTAGGAGCTTGCCTACTGCAGTATAACCCAAAAACTCAAGGTGAACACCCAATAGCGTACTGCAGTCGCTCGCTGAAACAAGCACGAGAAAAACTATGCTGTTATAGAGCTAGAAGCTCTAGCGATAGTATTCGCTCTTAAACATTTTTACCCATACGTGGCTAATGCAAAGATAACGCTTATAACGGATCATGCTCCTCTTAAATCCCTAATGCACCGAGCAGATCTAGTCGGTAGACTAGCGAAATATCAAATCGCTATACAGGCGTACGATATTCAAATAGAATATCGAGCAGGAAAGCACAACACATTTTGTGATTTCCTCAGCCGTACCCTTTACCGCAGCTTAACTCTTTAATAGCTCGGTCCTTTCCCTTCTCTGGAGGAAATCCAGGAGAGTCAGCGAAATTCTGAATATGGTCCTCTGATAGAGTTTCTCAATGGAGAACTCGAGGAACCTCCCCAAGAATTCGCAGACAAACTGGAAAATTTCACCATGTATAACAATTCGTTGTATTACACAATACATAACAAACCGAAATTGTTTATACCCGATGTAGACATGCAAACAAGTATGATTGCCATTTTTCACGAAAACCCACTCTTAGGTTCACACCTAGGCATAAACAAAACATACAAGTCTCTTAAAGACAAATACTTTGGCCAAATCTGTACCAAGATGTAGCAACATACATAAACACATGTCCTACATGTCAAAAGGTGAAAACACCTGCTACTCACATCATCCGCGAAGAAATGGCAAACTTTCCAGTACCTCAACGACCCTTTGAGCGTATTCACACGGATATCATAGGACCTCTACCACAGTGCGAAGATGGTAGTAAATTCATTTCAATATCAGTTTGTGCTTTCAGCAAGTTTGTAATTTGTACCCCACTTGTAAATCAAACCACGGAATCAGTAATCAAAGCCCTAATCGACGATGTCATTTCCAAACATGGCATCCCAAAAGAGCTAGTTTCTGACCGTGGGTCAAATTACACTAGCGAAATGTTTTCCAAGATCAACAAAACACTTGGCATCACAAACAAATTCACTACCAGCTATAATCACAAAGCCAACGGACAGGCAGAGCGAATGGTTAAAGTGATAACGGACTCTCTAACAGCCTACTGTTCAGAGGCTAGGCAAGTTTGGTCGACCTTTTTACAACCTATTGTATTTGCCTACAACTGCAGTGAAAATCTGACGACAGGCTATAGTCCGTTCTTTATCGTATATGGTAGATATCCCATCACGTGGAGTGACATCCTCCACGAATTGCCAACGCGTCTTCCCGTAGCACCGGATGATGTGGCCGATCACTTCGCCGTCGGTCTGAAAGAAACAATAATGGAAGTCGGATCCGAACTAGCAAGAAAATCTGCGCAGTACAAAGTGGGATACGACCTACTTCACAAGGTAAACAAGAAGGACATTTCCACCGGAGATCTTGTGCTCTTGCACGACGACACCGTTCGTCCTAAATTAACAAACCAGTGGAAAGGCCCTTACAAGGTTGAAGAAGTCAACCGACCTAACATTACCATCACTAACATAGTGGGTCGCCCCACGCGACAAATTGTACATGCTTAACCGACTGAAATTATATGCTACAAGATCTGCACTGGTCACTGGTTCCTCGCAAAACCAACAACAACACCTTTATCCAAGGAAAAGGAAGCAGTGAACAAAGCAAATCAACCAATATTACGACGTTCGCGTCGAATTCAGGAAAGGAGATCGTCTTCAGCGGAACCAGATCAGTGATCTGGAGAGTACTGCTAGTCCTTTCCAGGACAGCTAGCTACTCATGGGTCAGTTTGAATTCCTTCTTAAGCCGCTGTCGCGAAATATATCTATCCAAAATTCTTTGAAATGGCGAATTCAAAGAACCTTTCCTAAGGCAAGCGACTTTTGTCAAATAATAAAACAGTAGTTTCAAAACAAAAGCAAAGCCCCTATACTAGTCGAAGGTGTGCTCGTAGAGAGACTAGTATTTGTATCGTTTTAACTCATATGATGTATAATTGGAATCATCAAGCTGAAGACATTGCATGTCGGCAAGCTATCATCCACTACTGATTTTATTATGTCACAAAGTCGGAAAAAAAGGGCTTATACATATGGACTAATGAATATCATTAGATAAGAAATTGTTTAACTCATAAGTCAAAACAATGTTATGTAATTCCTATTATCTAGCACAAGTAATCTAGAAAGAATGTATAACAGTAACTAGTAGAATAGGTCATTAATCACATTGTTACCTATTATTCACCCCTCACAACAAGATCTCTTATGCACTCTGATGTACTTCATTCCTCTTCATTGTGCACCTCAGCAGCTCGAGGACGAGCTTTCTTCTACGGAAGGGAGTGGCGGCCGATCCGTTCCACCAGGGCCGTTACCACTAGTGTATGACTAGTCTTCAACACAGTATCACCACATCCACATACATCTTATTTTCATGCCAAGGCGTAGTCGTCGATTTCCTTGAGAGTGAAGCCTTGACACCATTCCTTTTATGTTCTATCTTATGTCACGTCGCTCCTGTACGTTCGTTCGCATGGACTGTCACTGATAAGGCAGTCAATACTGTTAACCAAGAAGCAAAGCTCGAGGACGAGCTTACAGAACGAATGGAGATGTCGTGTCCTCGCGGAATGGTCCGCGGAATGGTCTGGGCTGCGCGGGTGCCACCTGTCGTGTCACCCCGCTGTACGATGGACGTTACAACGCCTATGGATGGATACTGGAAGACGGCAGTCGTCTGTCCACTCACCCCCTCGACTGCTCCCCTTTCCCCCTTCTCTCTGTATTATTTATATGTAGATAAATATGTAAAAGCCCAGGTGTTTGTATAACTAATACCGCTACACATCGTGTATAGGCTTAGCTACCCTATAACATGATAAGCTCCAAATTCTTTTCTGTAAGGGTAATAGCCTCTCTCAACAAACTTCTTACTCGTGACGTCATGCATTTCTCTCTGAATTCCTTCAAGTATGTTGCCAAAAAATTGGTGAACCTTGAGGATTCGCGGGCTTCTCCCATTTGATTTCCTCTCGTGCTAGTTCACTACCTCATTATTTTTTTATGTTCCCTCTCTATTTAGTCTTCTGCTTTGTGCTAAGCTTTACAGCAATGGTTACAGTGAGGACTTCATTATAGCTAGTATAGTGAAGAGTATTTATAGAAATAAACTTATATGTTACAAATACTCTATTACGAATGATTACGGTAGCATAAGCAGATTAGTCCGAGGTATTCTCAGTGGCTTTTTCGTTTAAATTGGTGTCTATGTAACACATTTTTTTACCTGCATGTGTCGTGTAGTATTTTCGGATATTATAATGTAACATCAACTGATAGTTTTTCGTAATTACGACGTCCTACTCACGTTATCCAATCAATTAGCATTCTTAAACCTCTCAGTCTTTATCGTTTTCAACTTTATACCTTATAAACTTGCTGCAATTGATTTTTCTTCCTTTCCTTACTGAAGAGCACGGAAGGAGGAATATGCTTTTGCTCGGCTTCCGTCTAAGGGCACGTGCGAAATGGAAGCATTTATTAGATTTTATAACATAGTTCATATCTCGCTTTCAAAGATTTTATTTGCTATAGTCACTAATTCTTTTTTTCTGTTGTGAAGTGCACTGATATGCCAGTCGCTGTGGTGATTTTGTTTTCTCACGTGGGCTCATACCTGCGTCAATAAATAGAAGTAGTTAGGAACTTCGGGAGAATGGCATTTCCGACCAATGCGGCCGAGTATTAATGCCAACCGCACCCGTCCGACCCCCTAATAACGGAGTGTCATGGCAAACTCGTGAAGTAAGGGCATCTCAGGGCACTTGTCAACCGCGGAGCTTCTCTTCTCTTTCCTTTTTCCTTCTTCCTTCCTTCTTCCTTCTTTTCCTTCTTCCTTCTCTGTTCCCTCCTTTCTTACTTCTCCCCCAACTACTGTGCCACGGCTGTACGTGAATACGGACACAATACATCATAGCTGACGCCTAACATCCTTCCATTTGCAGTTTAACGTTTTTCGTTACTTTTGTAAAAATTTTAACGTTTTTCGTTACTTTTATAAAATTTGTCGCCTGAAGGCGAACCAGTGGAACTTTAGTCTAGTTTTCAAACTTAATAATGTTGCAGAACAGCTTGCTTTTGAAGGTGAGCTTGGAGTGATGGCTTCGCTGTTTCAAATGGATCGGGTGCTCTATCAGTGCGGATGTGAAGACTGGTGGCCTCTCTGTAACCTCTATTTTTGCCGACACTGCTCCATACTTCGGTTTGCCTATAGTTCATCAAAGATTTTAGTTTCATGTTGGAATGTGAAGTTAAGTTAATCTAGCAATAAGGCTTATTCAGATGCATATCATGCAGTCTCAACGAAATTGATTCAACCTTCTGTCCAAACTGCTTGGAGAACATTCCAGCTGGCGAGGCTCGAGTGAAGAAGAATAGATGCATCAACTGTAACCAGTGCCCAGTATGCTGTGAGAGTTCTTGATCAATTCTTGTTTAGTCGTCGCAAGGTTGTGTATGTGATTGGGCTTGTAGTTTCGTCGTCTATGAGTTCGTAATGGTGGTTCTGCTCCTTTCAGCAATGGTATTAACAACAAGAGCAGTTGGTGAATCATGCCACTTAATGTGTTCAACCTGTCGATGGTCAACTAGGGACTCAGGCACGCCTGACCAGCCATCCAGCATAAATTGGCCTGTGTGAGTTCATTTATATGACTGGTGCTTCCTTTACCTTGCCCTTTTTGACGACGGTGTGACTTAATGTTTTGTTGATTCCATTCTCTACAATATGGTAACGAAAGCGTTTATTTTCTCACAAAATTGGGCCGTTTTGAAGTGAATGCCTGAATGTCGACAATTTAGACATGAAAGCACTTTGGACAAAGAGCTCGGCGAAGTTTTGGAGAGAATGCGTGTTTTGGCGGCGGCGGAAAAGGCTCAGCGGGATCAAGTGAAGCTAAATAAAAGGTGTAAGAAGTAGTGCCCTTTTCTATGCTGGATGAACCTTAATGATATTTCCAGGAGATCTCATAATGTAGGGAGTCTTTTGACGGACCGTTATGGGCTACAAGCAATCTATCAAAAACGCAAGAAAACATTCGAAAAGCCTCTTCCACAAATGCCTTTGCATCTATCTTCTGATGAGGTACTTTTTGTTCAAAATTCTCGAAAAATATATCTGTCTCTATTATGCATCACAGGTTCCTGAACTTGATATGACCAAGTATCTTGATGACTCAATTGAGCCTTTCCTTAGAATCTCGTCTTCGGCAACCGCTTGCTTCTGGTCGACCACTACGACCTGTCAGAATGCCATTGAAAGCTAGGAGAGCCATTCGGTGTGTGAATTTTAAGTTAGCTCTCTTCGAGCATGTTCTCTCAGATGCAAACACTGCGATCATAACTTGGTAAAACTGGAATATGGTACATCAACGATACGATATAAAATTCAGGTAGTCTCATATGAATCATTAGTTAGGTCCATAGTTTGCGGCAGCGTCCACCAGCGTATTCTAGCTTTAAAGCGAACGCCAGCGCCAGCGGCTAGAAAAATATGGACATCGATCTAGCGAACACCAGAGTCCACTAGCGTCTCGAGGGAACACGGAAGTATAGGTCTCAATCTAGCGAACGCCAGCGTTCACCAGAATTTTCGAGCGTGCAGCAGCGTGCAGGAGTGGAAAGTGTGAAGCAGAGGGTAGCAGACTGCTGGATTGCCTGCTACCCTCCTACTTCCCCATACTACTCATTACTAGACGCTGGCGTTCGCTAGATCGATATCCGTACTTTTTTAGTCCTTGGTGCTGGCATTGGAACGCTGTCGTATGCTGGTGGATGCAGGGGGAGGGGGGCGCTGCCGCAATCTAGCCAATCCACTTTGACAATGTTGCCATCTATGTCTTCAAGAACGTTTCTTTCTTTCAGTATTTTGCTCGCAACTTTGTACCGGAAATTCGCCTCTCACGAGAACCAGAGCTAAATGTCGGACAAACCGGGTCTGTTCTCCTTACTGTGGCCAACGAAAGTAATTCGAAGGCTGACGTGAGTTTTCAGCGTTACTGGTCAATATGTCGAACTGAATACTCTCCACGAGTTCAGCCCCCACTTAAAACCCTCTCGCTAGGGAGAACAGAACTAACAAGACATTTATTTTTTGCTTGCCTGCTTCTTCCTTGGGCAATCCTTTCGTTTTTCTCACTTCATTTCCCCAAAGATTGATGAATTGATGCGTCTACCAGGTGATCAAGCGTTAGAGTTTAAGACGATAGTGGTCAGTTAAGCCTCGCCTCCTCGTTGATAGCGGTGGAAATGTAAAGGATCGTAAACACAGTGTGTGGTTGTTTTCTGGTGGCGGGAGGGGGGGGTGCTGGGGACACTAGTACTAACTTCCTTCAGAATATGAAGCTACGGTGCCATACACATTATCATAGGTACATTCTCATTCGCCGCTAATGGTGGGCTTGTC